TTTATATTTATAATTTATATTTTATAATAGTGGAGAAACTGCTACATCAGTGTTAAACTTAGTACATGGATGTCAACCTAAATTTGGTTTACCAGATGAAACCAGATTCGACAATATTGGCCACATTACAAAAAGAGATGATAGTCCAAAAATGTAGGATGTGCAAAAGTACCTAATACTATTTATTTATGTAAAAGGTGTAGAATGCATCTACATTCCGAATGTTTCGAAAATTTAATTTACATTTAAGATGCAATATGTTCCTTTATTAAAAATTGTACTGTTTTCCTTGAAAAGGAGAAAAACAATCTTTTTGGTTGCAAATTAGTCTTAGTTTATGTGTTTTAAATCCAATCTAGTAAATTAATTGTCAAATTTCTCTTTGTATATTGAGCGCCCGTTAATCGGTCAATACTATATAAAGAATAAACTTGTCTCAAATTTACTTTATTTTGCTTAAATGTATTTTAAAGTTAATAATAAAGTCTATTTAATATATATATCCCCAAGAAATAGAACACACTACGCTTATGCATATGTATAATGTCATAATGTCGAAGAAATAAACTAAAATATCATATTTCTCTCATTACCATTCTTTCTAAGAACGTAAATATTTATATATATATATATATATATATATATATATATATATATATATATATATATATATATATATATATAGATCAGCAAAATATTGATTGAAGTTCAACGATGTTTAAATCTATTCAATGAACTCTTGTCTCACTATACACTCGAGAATCGCACCAATTTATATTGTTACGGGAGCAAATTTATCTTACTTTTTCACTTATTTACATGGGCGAAACATACACAATAAAAATGACCCCGGTAAGAATTTACTGCTGAAATTTTACATGGTTGCCGCTACCGTTTAGTTCAATTTATAGATTAGTCACCTTTAATTGAAAATATTCCGACTATAGTACAGTAACTTCTAGAATCCAGTATAGTCGATCGCTCAAACTCAATAAGAATTTACCGCCTATCAGCACCGAACATTCTGGAATCTTGCAACCCCAATTGGGAGCTACTAGAAGAGGAAATTCGAATAATTTTTAGAATTCGAATTAGAAGTCTTCAAAATCGAATTTCATTACTTACTTATTGAAAATGTATATACTTTATATTTATTGAAAAAGATTTTTATGTCAGACTCATCTGGGCCTTAGCTGACTTAGAGTTAGATTTAAAAGCTAACTTAAACAAAAATTTAAATAACTGTGAAGAGATAGATTGAACAAAAAGATTAAATAATTTAAGAGTGTCACCTATAAATATAGATAATTTTGAAAATATGGAAGTTCCACAATTTGGCGTAAAAAATGTATACATTCTTTCAAATTTTGACGGAAATCATGACTTTATTAAAGTTAATCCATTATTGTGATAGACTTAATGCAGCTAACATACAAAATAATTTTTTGCTTCATGGTATTATAAGTAAATTAACAAGTAGAGCAAAAGAAGTTATATCTGTATATCTGAAACTTGGGATGAAATAAAAAATGCATTAATTCAAAATTTTGTAAATCAGAGAGATGAAAATTCGCATAAAAGGGACCTAGTAAATCTGAGACAAGGCTTAACGGAATCTATCATGTATTTTTACAAATACATAATGGGACTTTTAAGCTGTATTAACAACTACACAGAACTACATACTTTAAATGCTAGCATAAAAGAAGCAAACAAGAATATTTCCGTTAACGAGCTCTCACAACATTCCTAGCGGGTAGACGAGAACCAAAGTGTTTCATTATTAGAGCAATAGAACCAGGAAGTTTAGCAACAACAATACAATATGTGCAAGAAGAAAACTTTACGATATCTTAAAAAAATCAGATAACAGATCCCACAACATCCGGAAGAAACAAAAATTACCAAGAATATTCATAATTGGCGCAGTCAGTAGTACAATAAGCAAATTATTATCAAAACCGTCAAATACAGTACACGACCTCCAGTAATTGCCCAAACGTTTTATAATTAAAAGCGTTATCATAATCAGCTATCGAAAGACCATTTACAAGCCGATACTATAATATTTTTCAAGGAGCACTTCAACCCGAAAAATAAGCATGCAATTTTATTTGAAGTGGAAGACGAAATTTGCGAAATTATCACAAAAACGTTTAAAAACAACGCATACGAACTAAAAAGGAACTATCATGAAGGGTCAAATAACTATTGAGGAATAGCTGAAATAGAAAGCCAAATAAGAAAATGATATTACTGGCCTAATACGAAGAAAAACGTAGAAGATATCATAAACCATAAAACCATATCTCCTCATAACAGAAAAATCCTTTCAATATTTGGATGAATTAACAGAAAATATCTTTGCAGAGAAGGAACCATACTAGAAGCAACGAAAACCGAAGACTGTATCAAGCAGATCTTACAGTTGAGTACCAAAGAAGCTTCTTGCCAATACCTTCCTGTCAAAGCCCGATACATTGGAATATTCCAGAAATCAACCAAAATTAAAACTCGATGTTCTACAACAAAAATTTTGGGCCCAAAAGGAACTTATGCTTCCCAACATTAAGACCATAGATATTCAAACGGCAATGAAATGCAAACCATTGAGGATAGACCATATCCCCTTAGACAAACTATTTAAGGAAGAAGAACACCTAGAGACAATTAACCCAAAATCATGAAACCATAGCCATATCCATTTTTAGATAACTCCTGTCTTCTTCTTTGCGTGTCATATCAGAATTATCCGACGTTGGCGATCAACATTGAGAAAG